TTTCATAAATATAGGTCCACCCTAAATTTTTGCTACCCCAAAGTTGCTGTGGCATTTTTGGAATGCTGCCTATCCACGCGTTAGGCTTCCCTCATCCCCAGCAGGGCCTCATCACGAAAAACCTTCATAGTGTTTTTCTGACAAAGTTCCCCCCTCAAGTAACCCAATTAACTTTTTTAGAACGAATTTTCACCGTTTCATGAATATCGGGCCACTCATAAAAAGTTTCCATTTCTCACGATCCGTGAAGGGAATCAGGGAAGCGGGGAAATATGTGGGCTCAGTCGACATCGAGTTTACCATACCTCGTGTTATTCGCCTCTCTTCCCAGTAACAAGCTCAAGCTAGAGCACTTACTGAAGTGGGATAGCTGAGGAGCAGAATTCCTCCCATGTCGGCCGGCTCATACTGCATAAGCGACTATGTGCAAAATCCTGGTCAGTGCGGAGAGAAGAGTCGCTTAGGTAAATAAAGACTGCGTTTCCTTCAAAATTTAGGAGGAATTGGGTGTCTTCTCTCGAATTATACAAGGAGTCCGAACAAAGTCCGTACTGAAATGCGGCCTTCCGTGAGCAAAACCACCGTGTGGTGAGTAAGCCAGCAGAGCAATAACATCTTCAACGGATTGATGAAGAGCGTTCCAAGATTATTTGAGCGCTACAAGATCGCAAGTCTCCATTTCTCCGTGGAAAAGGGCTCAACTTAATGAGCGATGGTGTGGCTGTTAAGACCCTTCGCGATCTTGGACTCTACCTCCTTGTTTCGTTCTACAGGTGGTCTGAGATCGACGTGGAAAAGTTTATTCTAGGTGGATATGGCAGAAAAAGAGGGTACAGGATGATCGCGTGAAAATCGCAGATGGTTTCAATGTAACGTAATTTCGGCGGTGAATCCCTTATGGTTTGAGGCACCTTTGAACGACTGAGTAGCTAGAGCTCGCTTTTGTTTCCGTTCACAAAGATTCCACAGGGTATCGTGAAGTTCTTTCGAAGCGAGTCTTACCATTTTTTCAACAAGGATCCCCTCTATCCTTGATTTTCACACACGATAACGCGGCTGTCCATGCCGGTCCCTCCGCGCCAGATGGAATTGCAGGAAAAAATGTGGCAGTTATCTGGTGGCCACCATGTTATCTGAATTAGATTCCAATAGAGAATCATTGGGCCTTAATTGTTATAAAGTTCCACAGCAAAGTAAAGCAAAATGGAACAGCCGAAAAGCTGAAAAGGTCGATCATCGGCGCCCAGACGAATTTCGATCCTACTGTAATAGCTAATTTGGCTACCAGCATTTCAAAACGTATTATTGTGTTCCTTATGATTATTGGGGGGTCATCCCATTATTGAAAATTCGTGACGTTTTTTCGTTATAGTAAAATCTCTCGACAAGTGATGTGTAGTCATATTTGCGAAACGGTGAAAATACGTTCTAAGGAAGATATTTTAATAATTCTGAATCGAGATTTCTCCAGAAATCAAGTATCAAGGTTTTTCGTTATGGGGAAACTATTGGTAATAGCGGCATTTTCCAAAAATGCACAGCAACTTTGGAATAGCAAAAAATTAGGGTGGACCTATATTTATGAAACGCAGTGTATTATATTCACAATTGGAGAAAGTGTTTTGCAAACTGTCCCTGAAATTTCGCATTCACTTTCTCTGCCAGTCAGACATACTACATAGTTGGGGGTAGAACATAGATGATCTTAGAGTAAGGAACTCTAACTAGGTAGACCACCCAATCCGAGTAGTAGCAAAGGCGTGAGTCTGCATTCAAATTCCAAAATGTCACACACACTGGTATGCCACTAATGATCAGAGAAGATTGCTTCACCACTTCCTAATAGGAATCTACCCCTTGGCGGGACAAACCTCCACCTTGAAGTCTTTAGACGTATTGCAATGGGTACCTGACCCTCACTCTCAGCCAAGAACAACTCCGAATACATTGGAATTTGTCTGTAACTGGCTCTATATGCGTAGTAAAACCGATCTAATGCGGTCGGCACGAACAAGGCCTGTTTTCGGATGCACCGCACACGCGACCGTAGTTTGAAATTGCAAAGGGCGGAAGTGGTGTAGTGGACAAGTGGCGCGCTTCACCACGCGAGCGGTCCGGGGATCAAATCCTGGGTCGTGAGTCGCCCGGGCCAACCAAGCCTTCCATCCCTCCGGGGTCGGTTAATTGGTACCAGACTTGTCTGGGAGGATAAAAACACTGACTTGTACATCGGCTGGCCCCCGCAAGTCATTGTATAGGCCACATCGCATTCAAACGCCACTACGAATGTACAAATGGAAGTAGAATGCGTGCCGCATCCCAAAAGGGATTGATCAACGGCAAATGCTTTATCCTTTATCCTTTTTATTATCTATTTCCTCTTGTTATGACCCGGACTTGCTCGATTTCCACGCTGTTTCGACGAAGATAGCTTATCCTGAAAGCTTTGCTGAAGAGAGATTTTTTACGATTTATAGTAATTCACGCGGAGGAAACACCTCAGCACGAAACAGTCGAGCCTTAATAGAACAATTATTTTGAGTTTATGACAACTTCATGTTCTTGTGTGCGTTCCTCCCACCCTTCATCCACCGACCAATGACGCTACCACCGCGATTTCGGCTGCGGGTCCTCGAGATTGCGACCCCACTTCGACCCATGACCAAAATGCGACCCCCTCGTTCGAATAGTGCGGACGGTTGACCTTGCTTGTAAATGGCTTGTTATAAGGAGCCTGAGTGGCTTCCTCGGTAGCCTTAGTAGCTTACTGGAAGCAGCCTCAGTGACTCACAAGGGAGGTCGTTCAGGGTGTGGGAAGCTTTTTCAAAACGGTTTTTTGCATGCTGTAGGGACTCTCACGTAGACCACAATACTGCGTTTCGTTTTCGCTGAGCGGCCCCCTGAAGGCCAAAAAATGGTCGAAAAAAATTCGTTAAGAAGGGGTGGTTTTTGCTGCCTTGGAGTGAAGTTTCGGACCTGTACAAACGACCACCTGCATTTTGAAGGGCGCCGATGAAGATAATATCGAAAACAACTCGAAATTCGCTCAAAATTGAAGCACTGTACGTGGTACTGCTGAAGAAAGTGTAGAGGTTTCATAGGCGTCGTCGGCACCCTACACATCGCAGCGAGCAGGTGGCCGAGTGGATAGCGTGGTGGACTGGGGTTGGCACGACTTTGTGGATCGAGTCCGCTCCTGGGCTCTTTTGCATTTTTGATAATCACCTCCAAATTGGACGCCAAATTGCTTCAGCGTCAAAATTAACGCTATATTCTCATTCAGGACCGTCAGTAGCCCTTGCAAATGGGTTTTCTACCAAAAATTGGCGGAAAAAGTTCGCAGCGCCAAACTGGCGCCAAATGGCGCCGACGTCAAAAACGAACGCCATAATCGTGTTCAGGACCCTGATCTACCCCCACATGCCAAATTTCAGGAAAAATCGAGGTTTTGACCTAACTTCGAAAAAGAGGGTGGCCATGGGCTACAGGTCGTCATGCACGCCAGCGGGCGACTTGAATACGAGTGCGGCGCCGAAATCAAGCGCAATGCCTTGTCGGCTCACGGGAACTAAAGTTCGGTTTCATAGGGAACATCTTCCATCATGTCGCAGTCCTTGAAATCGCTCCATCTATGGACACGCAGCCTTGCGAGTGGAGGAGCCGTGGACCCAATTACCACGTCTTGATGAAGGGGAGAATCTGCCGACTTCAAAATCATGGTGCCCTGTTGCCCATCTGGGTGTCTCCCATTGTCCATTTAGCAGTGGAACTTCTCGTTATTTGAGAAGGATAACTGGGAACTCGTTTCCAGTTCACCGGCTGGAGGCAACTATGGGCTACTGACCTATCACTGGCCAATTTTTCGGATCCAGGTCAAATTCTCAATTTTCTCAAGAACTTCTGATTTAGGGAATATCGAGTGCCCTGATCACGAATATGACATCAATTTTTCCGATAGCTTCAATTTACGCTAGTTTGGCGCCATTTGGCGCCTTTCTGGCGCTACAACTTTTTTCCGCCAGATTCTGGAAAAAGTTTGACTGCATTTCTTGCTCATGGTCTTAATGATGAGTACGATACCTAGTACTGGTGCTGGCGCTATTTTAAGGAAATTTCGAAGCTCCAACTAAAGTGCAAAAATTCTGTCATCAAGAGGGATTGAACCTTGGACCACTTCCCTACCATTTTTTGGCCTTCAGAAGGCCGCTCAGCGAAAATGAAACATAGTATTGTAGTCCCCGTGAGAGCCCCTACAGCATGCAAAAACCGTTTTGAAAAAGCGCTCCACACCCTGAACGACCTCCCTTGTGTCAGTGCGTTGAAGGATCCTCGGCGGCTCAAAATAAGGTATACCTTCTGGCTGACACCGAAGAACAGTTCGCGCCGTGACCCGTTTTTTGGTCGCCCTCAAATTCGCCAATCACGACTCGCCTTCGTGTCTTCGTTTTGCTCGCGATCATTTCAGTCATTTCTGGTTATTGATTTCAGTTGTCTAATAATTTTTTTTCTGCTCTTTAATCGCCCAGCAAAAAGGTCGCTACTTCGTGTCGCACCATACGAATCCTGTCAATCTAACCTCATAACACACCCATTAAAGAGAACTGAACAGAAAAATAAAAAGCGGAGGAAATAATGCTTCATCAAGTCGAAATGACAATCACCGCAAGTAGTACAGCAGGGAACACAATATTATAAAAAACACAGAATATTTTCCAGAAAAGAGGTAAATCTAGCAGATCGCACTAAACCATACAACAGTCATTTACCTCGACATTTACAAACAAGACGTCCATCAGAGTCACAGAACCCTACACAATAGGAAGTTGTGACAACATGATAAAAACGTGTTGCATGTAAATGAACTGTTGGAGACATTAGACGGTAGCATCACACAGAGCAATTGTAGTACTCTACTCACTCAATTACAGCCGAAACAATACCAGCGACAAACCTTCAAACAATAAAGTCATTCTGCGAAAGGCTTACAAGCAAAAATCGACTCAACAATCGAGAAAGTTCGCTGCCATGAGCAATTCGAGGGCTACATCTGGAGTGATACTGAATTCAGGAATTTCCGTTGCCGAGCTCGTATAGCGGACTTTGTAGGCAAAGTATTGGCACACTTTCTGGAGCACATGAGACCTTAAACACAGCTTATCTTGTAAGAACTGTGTGCAGTATACAGCTACAACGATTTGATTACGAACACTCAGAATCTCCTCTCCCTCCTCCCTGCCCACAGAATAACTGCTTACCGTGCTGTACAATTAACGTGAGCGAAGATTGCGCTCGACGTCACAAAGTGAACATTCAAGTTCAACTACCGAACAAGTTGTGCACCAAGTAAGCGCATATTCGGCATGGGGATGCAAATCGCTCAACTGCTCTTGAAACTCGGTCAGCAGCCGTTTCCAGATATTCAAGAATGAACACTATTGCTGTTCACACTGTTATTAGGTTGTTCTAAAAGTTCGTGCCACTTTCAGGAATTTTTGGAGTTGATCTTATTTCGACAAAGCGATATCTATCATCATTATATGTACGGACCATTACTACCACTGACTTGACGCCAACGATGCATCAGAGGGTGAATGCCGTGCTCAGGATGTCGATGGCTTCATGCTGAAAGGGGCATTGAGGTCAATTTCGCGGTCCTTCTTTGAATCGTACTTTTAAAGCCTGTGAGATGATTAATTAGTAAGAGAAGGCCTTCGAAAAGAGGCCGAACATCGTTGTAAGGTAGGTCTGGTAGAGTTTCTCAACTAACCTTCGAAAGCTAGAACCATGTGACTCAAAACAAGTGGTCTCATTTGTCGTAGAACAGACATGATTATGAACTTTGGGCGTATTATTCGGAGTTTTCTCACCACCTTCAGGCGTTGATCACAGGAGACCTAGCCAGCTACAAAGACGTAGCTGGTGAGTTCTCAAAGGCTCGTTTGCAATTTGCTTTTCATACGTGGGCCAGAACGTTTCGTTAGATTTAACAGTTCTTCAGCTCTTCTGCTCAATGAAACCTCTAGTGTTTCTGCAGATGGTTATCACTGGACAACCACTTCTCATCAGCAATATGTAGTAGCATTGCTCAGTCACCGCGCAGGGATGAAACAGGATAGAAGATGTTGACTGAACTCGTGCTGCACTCATGTGATTACTATTCACACCATTAGGATTTCTATTGTCCAAGCCTCTTACAATTTCTCGAAAAAGAGCAGATCTCTATCAAGCGTGTACCTGAAATAGTCTGAGTGTGGCGGTCTTATAGCAAAATAACTCGTGCGGGTTGCCTTCAATGGTAGAGCACAGCAGGTCCAAATCGGACACCGATTGCCTTCCTGGTCAGAATTTTCTCCAGACTGTAGTCTCCAGATCGAAGCAGGTTTCACCATTCTGATACCGTGTAATGAAAAACGACAAGGAGATGTATCGCAAGCAAATGTTACTCCTGGTTTCGACCGATTTGTAGATCAGTAGAAGTTCATAAATCAAAGCGTGAATAACATGGCTCGCTTCTTTTTTTTAAATTTCTAGTTTAAAAAAGCCGCTAGGATTTGCATAATTCGGGTAGATCATTCACTTAGTAGACTCTTCGCAGACTGCTTGATCATATTCGAAAATCGCTGAATGAGGTTCTGGTGTGAGATGCAAAAAAGTGGCACGAACTTATGAGAAAACCCAATATTTCGCCATTATATGTGGAACTGGCAGATATATGAAACCAACACTCCTTATCAGGTCCTTATCAGAACACGAATAAAACTCAGTCTTGTTCAATTTCGGGAAAAAAATTATAGTATCATAAAGTACATCAAACGCGTCGAAAATAGTAAATGCTATAGCAGCTAGCTATAAAACAAGAATAAACGCAAATAATATAAACTCCTTGACAAAAAAAAATAAAACCCATATCGTACATAGCATGAAGTTGATAGAATCAATAAATTAAACAGCTAACTAAGCTAAGGCCCACTTACGGTATCTCTCTGAAGTTCACTTCATTACTTTCGTTCTCCTGAATACTGTCCTGGTCCACTTAACATCGCCTTGATGGTACCAGAAGTTAGTGCCAGCTCCTCAAAGGAAAGTAAATAAACAACGAAAAACATAACACATAAACGACAGTGTTTTGGCTTTTTTGCGGCGTGGAACAGGAGGAATTTACAAAGGCGCGTACAATCACATCCGTTCACTTTAGAAAAAATGTAAGAAAGCATGAATTTTACGGAATAGTTTCAGCAATATCCGAAGCATAGAGAAAATCTAAAGACAGAGCACCGAAAGTTATTCCAAAATAACGACAACGTAGAAGCAAAAACTCGCTGCAAACGACCTCAAAAGTATTTATAAGCTGGATACTTTAGACACTTCCCTCATGAATGTGTATGATAGTAAAAGAAAAAAGAAATGTGAATTGTGAAGCTAGAAACTTTGTGAGGCTCACAAAAGTTCCGCTAGATCTAAGCATATCTGCCCATTTTGGTGGGGTTTACAAATGTGTTCACGTATTGTTTGACGACGGCGACGCGCGTGCGCATCAGAATCTCCCACAGGTCTGATGCGCATGTGCCTCAGGCTGTCGTCAATGGGTTAGGAAACAAATAACAGCAGGCAAATATAAGCCATCTTTGAAATACGTAGGAAGATTCCATGGCTTCAGCTCTTACAATTGGATGTTCGAACTCTCGTGTTCCCAGAACAAGTATGTCTTCCACTTGAATAGGATTATTGACAGGCAAAATAAATTAGAAATTGCCAACCTTTTTAATGAAGAACTGATGACCATCACTGCTGACCAATTTAACGTATGTGGCATCTGGCCCTTCACATCCTCCATAAGCTAAATTTGCGTAAGTACAACATGCTATAGAGAAAACATGGTCAAATGAGGAAACGTACTCTTATTTTCAGAAGTAGAGGTAGAGGCGCTCATCTAAAATGAAGGCCATGAACAATGGTGTTTCAGAAAACAGAGCCACTTGCCTTTGTTTATGACGCTTGGGTAGCTTGCTCCGATTCTTTGAGCCTTGCCTGCCCTGACTGAACCTATTAATAATGACTTTTAATTATAGACGGTCTCGATTTAAAGACCTGCAGAGATGCACGGGCTTGCATGTCAACGGCGCAGTGGCGCATCCGCGCATGTCTCTGCTCGTCCCGCTCGATTTCAAGCAAAACCACCGATTTATACTGAATTAAATCAGGGAGAAAAAGGAAGTATGTAAACGTGAAAGCGTTTGGAAAACGTCCACAATTCAAGCAAAAAATTTTATTGAGCAAATTTACACACGAATGCGAAGGAACCTCCCTGAACAACTGGCCTGATTACAAGTGAACTAAGGCAATCAGGGAATGTTAAAATATATAAATGACAAACATATATGTGACTACAATCTGTGACTGGTCAATTATTACTCGTTTTTATGAACGATGTTCAACTGAAAGAGAAAATAAGATATTGCTTGCCGATTACGATGAAAATTGCACAATTAAGTAGCGTTAGTAATACGCATCTGTGCGCATAAATGAACAATCAATAAGGCACATCAGGTAAGGAAAGGCTGATCGCAGTGAATGTAAAGTATGCGCCTGAGATCTTTTCCTTAAACATGAAAATAATCGATATGACCACGATGAGAAAAGATTCGGTTGAATCCTTCTCTATGAAAATGCACAAATGCAACTATCATCCCTTTCAAAATCACAATATCCCCTCTACGACTACTTGGCACGAAGCGAGAGCTTATATGAGTTGATCAATCAAATGTAGAAAAAATATTATTCAACAAATTGGAGTGAAGTGACAGACCATCGACTGTATGAACAGTATAAGGATAAGAACTAGCACGGCAACCAGGATACAGATAAGAACTTTCTTCTGAAATGAGTAATTCCTGAGCATCTCAAAGAAATACAATAAGCAACTACACTTGACGGCACTTTTAGTGTTCCCACCATAATTAACAAAAAATTACTGCCAGCACCTAACAAACGAAACCATGTACATTATGCGCGCATGACGTCACGGAAGGCACTATTTGATCAATCGAAGCGTAGAGCTCCCACTCACCAGTTGAGAAGAAACTTTCTGAGCGCTTCTGTCCCTAATTTAACCTGTGCCATTGCGAAACAGAGCAGCGCTTTCAATTTAGAGGTGTTAGACTGAGAGATATTAGTTCTGCTTAACTTGGGTTACCGTTGCTACTTAAATTCTAGCCAAACTTCGCCGAGCAAATTACCTTTCGAGCTTTCTTTTGCAATTCACGAGCACCTTTCACGTTATGCTTCGCTTTCTCCGCATAGTCAACTGCATCCTCAACATTCGCTTCGATTCTATCGAGCATTTCACCCTTGAAAAAGCAAACGAATGAAGCCAGAAATTTTCTGAATAAACAAATAGTGTTTGCCTACCTGACTGAGAACAAGATTATTCAGATCAACAAACATTTCTCCTAACTCGCGAATAACTTTCTCAATTTCGAAAAGTTCATCTCTTCGGGATTTGACATCCTCGAAAAGTGCTTTCTTATCGCTGTAGGCAAGTAGTATCTAAAAGTGACGACGTGAGTGCGAAGAAACTTCGACTATTCAGGAAACCAAAAAAATATCAATACCCCTTTAGTTTTCTCGAATATATCGCCATTATCGATCGCATCACTAATCTCGTCATCTGTCAGAGAGATGTCCTCTAAAAAGAAGATCGTTGGCTATAATATATCGTACGAATTCGTTGAGTAACAACATAATAAAGTTGTTTTGAGAAGACTCTCACGGTGCACTTGCCACTGAAGACGGCACTGCATCTCAGTACGTGGCAGTTACAACGCAGAACGAAGAATGTACCGATATGTCAACATGCACCAATAAGTCAGTATGTTATATGACAAGCGTTCCAATTTCATCCAGTCATTAAAAAAAGACTCGATGTCATCTTCGAAATTATCGCGCACCCAAAAAAACGAAGTCGAGAGCTACTATTCACGGACTAATAGCAAGGGCTACACACGTCAAAGTGGCGCACCTCTGTATCAGTCAACACAGAGAGACTGCATGACGTATGATCTCTTTCAAGCTCCCCTTCAACAGGCTACGAACAAGTTCAGTGACTTTATCTCCGCCGAAGATCAAAAATCAGAACAGCTGCTTTTCTGGGTGGTGAAAGAAGAGTAGCACCCCCTGTCTCAAACCAAAGGTTTTCAGATTTCAGATTCAAATTCAGATTGATAGCAGCTCAATCGGCAAAAATATTCAAATAACTTATAATATAATCGAATGGCATATGAGTATTAATTGGTCAACTATACGGGCCCCATCGTCCAGAGCACTCGTCCCTGGCAGCCCGTTTGGTATGCCGCCGGCGTGAATGTATTAAATGAGCGCTCCGAGCCCTAAACGATCTCGCTTCATAGGGGCATCCCTTGCACGCGAACCGTACTTCGGACAAAAACCCGCGTTACTTTTACACCATCTGAATTTTCCTCCTACTGACACTCTGCGACTGTTAGAAGATATACTGTACCCTCAAAGCAAAGCAAATTCCGAGGAATAACAATCACAATACATACGTATTCTCAAGTAGTCGGTGATTTTCTTCTTGCAGCGTTCCTTATAGTGTTCTTCCTCCTCGCTGAATTTCCAGATAACATCGTGGAGAGCTCTTGTGAGACTACGGATCTGAAAAAAGTCTTCTAAGTTTTGAATCATGAGCAAAGATGAAACAACAAATTTGCGAACAGAATCAGAGGAAAATCCGAGACAGCTATTGTTAGGGCGCAGACGCGGGAAGACCTTCGTGATTCCATTATCGGAGAGACTCCGCTCCTAACTAGCGGGAACCAGAGTGTTTCGATCATGATGCACAAAGGGGATCACACCGAATGGGCACCGCTCACCTATGAGAAATAGCACGAAAAAGGAAAGGCAAGGAATAACATCATTTTCCTGGTCACATTTCTTTACATACACTGGTTCCAAAGCTGGTTCAGTACCAAAATATTACTGAGAAATTCGAAGCAACCAAACGATGTTCTATAAATACAGTACCTGGTTGCGCTTAATACGGGAATCCGTTGTATGGGACTCCTCGGGGTGTAACTTACTGATAGCGTTCACCTCGTGATCGAGTTCTGAAAAAGCACATAGAAATGGAATCGATCAATCGGTACTATGAACGATAAATTGGCATCTATAATGAGAATTACCAACTCTTTATCTTTTCCCGAGCGATGAAAGAAGTACTCCGAAATTGTTCGACAACAGCGCGCAATTGCTTTGACTTCTCTTAAATACGAAAATGTCAACGAATACAAGGGTGAATTGAGACTGAAGAAACGAACGGACCTCCATCAGTTGCAGGTGCAAGAAGCAGCTCGCCGTGTAAAGTACGTACTTCGTCAAGCCATGACTCTAATTGCCCAACGATCGTTCGAATTTCAGTCATTCGATTCAAAAACTAGAGATAACCACATTGGTTTACTCGACGATATAAATGAGATTGGACGAGAGACTCAACTAATGAATTTTAACAACGCCCGGCTTACGTTATTTGTACAAAAACATGCACACAAAAGACGCGCGCAAACACGATGAAACAAGTGGAGGTCGACTTAACGATCACTCATTAGAAAGTATTACTCACTACTGGGCGCCAAGAGTGCGGTCATACTTTGAGACCTCTTGCAGTTGAAGTGAAGCGAAGATATGTATCGATCGCGCGATAATGCTAGGCAGTCACAAAATATGACCGTACCTTCACCAGCGCAGCGTGATGTGAGAACTGAAGGGTCTGGACCGATCAAGATTAACGTACGCTTTCCAGAGATGTCTGCTGCTCATCAGGTAAGAGTTGAGCATTTTCGCGAGAAGAATGGCGATCACTGCTTCTGCTGGAGTTCGTCTTTCCAGACAAAGTCTGAAACTCAAAAATATGATGACGGTCGAGAAAGAGGGCTGGAAAGGATTGGATTTAAAAAAAAAGTTACCTGAAGTTCTATGAGACGATCTTTCACCATTTTCCCTTCGGAAAAAAGTTGCGCACCTACCACAGCACTCTACTGGATGAAACTAAGCTGCCTCAAAACTTCATTACAACATCTGGAAGAAAGATTTAAGAAGGCAGTCTCAAGATCACTAAGACATCGACGAATTGCTAAGCCACAAATAATCGAAAAATGGATACTGCAAGACTAAGACTAAATCAAACATAACGATGAATAAGCGTGTACAATTAACAGTTTTAAGGCCCTTCATCTGCGCGATCTGGGTTTTTGCTCCACTCATTCCACTTTCATTCAAATCCTCAGTGGGCACGAGCAGAGATGAACTATATGCGAGTCATTTTCCATCATATTACCATCAGCTACCAACTAACCAATCCCCAACAATTTAAGGCTCTGGTTGGCTTGAGCGGGATACCCAATAGGGAGCACAGGGCCGAGGCGACCCTAGATGCCAAAGAAAGCTACGGTTCACAAGACCTTTAGTTACTGCAACAAGTCAGTGACAGTAAACGACGAAATCAAGGGATAGTGAATAAGGTTACAACAGAAGTCCCCTCTGAGCATGTATAGCAATCCACTAAAAAAAATCGCGGGAAGTAGTGAAAAACCACTGCCCAGTGAAAGTGGAACGACCGCTGTGGATTTGGTCAGCTTGTTTTCATGCTGGAAAGTTGCCCTGAAGGGGTTCTTCAGAAGGAACAAATCCTTCCCTACTAGAACACAATAGCAGAGCAGAAAATCAACCGAAGAAGTGTTTGTTCGTGGTGAACAATAAATTCGATTAAAAGGATCTTGTCCAATCCCACAATATGAAGTGGAAATATCAAAGACGCCTCTACATTATTCAATGCGTATTAAAACCATGACTCACACGTTTCTTATCAGACGTCTGATCACATTTCCAAGCAAACCTACGAAATCAGCAGGCTCGCAAGCGAAACCAAAGAATTCACTCGGAACTCGCCTATCTATGCTTACAAGCCGTGTTGTTTCAATTTTTCAAAAATGGAACTTTCTGCGAAATCATTTACTTGTGCATTTACAAAATAGACCGTTTACGTACGCGTTCACTAATCTGACGCCTACAGCATTTAATGAGCAGACCTATTCTCCTAGTGCTGGAGTTTTCAAAAACAGGCATGCGAGTGAGAGTGAAAACAACAACGAAGAACAACATCATTTGTTGTGGGACAAAAAAGCCTATCCAGAAACGAATGCGACTGGGAGTAAGCAGAAAACTTAACGTTGAAAAGCACCATTTCCGAACTGGCTGTTTATGAACGATCAATAGCCACTCAAGTTGTGGTCACTTGTTGCATGCTGCACAAAAATAAAGAAATCACTTGGAAGAATCTCGAATATTTCCTCTTTTTAATATCCCCGTTTGCAAAACGTTTGCGAACCGTCATCATCAATGAAAAATAAGATGTTATTTGGAAATGATGTGACTCAAGAATGACCAAACAGTCATTGGAACCATTTCTAATTTATAAAAGAATAATGAAGTCTACGTTCAGCTGATTTTCGACCTTTTCAAACAAATAACCAACAAATAAATTTTGCAGTGTGCTTCTCAGACGAAAAAACGAGTGAAACTCGTCCGCCCATGGCGTTACCTTCATGAACCAACCAGTCAAAAGCATTTAACAACGAAGTCCAACTGAGTGCAAAAATCGACTTATAGAATCCGTACAATGCGTATTTCTGACCTAGAACCACAAAAAACTTCCATAAGGCAACTCAGCAATTCCTTGATACTTGTGTTCTCTATTTACCCTCAGCTGCACAGAACTCAGTGGTTTCTTAGGTTTCAGTAACGATATTAAGTCGTGTTCTTCTGTGGCACACTCTATTTAGTTCAACAGTTGATACAGACAGATGTGAGCGAGCAGAACACTGCAAAACTCTGTATTCA